TGTGGTTTCTGGGCCTGGTTTTCAAGAGGAACTGATTGAACATTGCTTTCTTTCTGATTCTCACCACAAAAGAGCATGGCCAATCTTTGTTGCTGTAACTTCCAGTGCAGGTCTTGGTTGATAGAACTCAAGGACTCTATGGATGAAGCAAGACTACCATGAACATTCACTGAACACATCTCCTGAACTCCAGAGAATCCACCATTTTCTCCTTGTCTTAGTACAGAAGAAGAGAGAGGAAGATTGAAACCCATTAAAGAACCAGAAAGTCCAGAGCTTCCTGATGGATCTAGACCAAAACAAGGGCTTGATGCAATTGCAGAAGAAGTTGAAATGTCCCCAAATGAAGCAAACTGGTTGTAAACACCAGTTGTTGAAGTCTGAAGCCTGGGAAAGCTAAGTCCTCCAAGCTGAAAATCCATGGCTGGTGAGAGACCATGAAAGAACTTGAATCCTCCGATCTCTGAAGTTCCACCGGAGTCCTTTGAATCGCCGGAAAGCCTTGAAGAAGACTTCATCTTCTTGTTTTTCCGGCAACCACCTCCGATTGGAACGTTGCGCAGAGCACCACCTTTTGTCCAGTACCTTCTACATGTCTTGCAGAAATGCCTTGGCTGCGTGAGACTGTAATTGTTGTAGTAGCAGAATTTTGTGTTTGGTGAATCGCATCTTGGGCACTTCTGGATTTGTTCTTGTGGCCTCGTCGTCGTTGTTCTCCGGCTGTTTGAACTCTGACTTTCATCTCTGGTGGCCGGCTTTATCGGTACTTTTTCCGTCGACATCGTATGTACTGTCAGAATTTTGATAGCTAGCAAACCCTAAATCACAGATATGCACTTTTGTGAATATATGTAGAGAGAGAGAGAGAGAGAAAGGGAGAGAGGTGAGGGAACAGGAAAAATTAGTTGTGGGTGTTGTCTGGGTTGTTCAGTTTCCTTTTGCAGAGGCAAAGATACTGATCAATTCAATGGTTTCATGCATGGGTTTGTTAATATGAAGTGATGTTGATAGGCTCCTGTGATCTTCATGAAGGAGGGGCTGGGCATGTTAGAAATATAAGCTGTTTTTGGAGGTTAGATCTCATAGAATGAATAAAGCTACATCTGTGTGTGTGTGTGTGTGAGAGAGAGAGAGAGAGAGAGGGCTAATAGGTATATATATCCATGTAGAGAGAGGGAGAAGGATACACTCATACAAGAGACAATAGAGTAGATGTATCTGATACTGATCACTCCGAATTGAGAGTTACACATGTACCCAAAAGATAATTTTTCTATCAAAACGTTAAATAAATTTAAAAATTTGATTTCATGAAGCAATATTATTGACAGTGAATTCTAATAAATACTAAGATTTACAATTAAGTCAATGACAAATATAATATTTATATCATCAAGTTAAATTTTAAAAAAAAATTAAGTATGTGTAACATTGCTATTTTCTGAAAGGTGTGTGGTGGAAAAAAAAAAAAAAAAAAAAACACAGAGAGAAATCCAAGATTACAAATATATAATTTTGTGTACTAAATTCTAATTTACCGCCATTTCTTGATTTTATTTTTTAGATGTCTTCATTTTTAGTTTATTTGTCAATCTACCATTGCTTTTATAAAAATGACTTCGCAAACATCCGCTCAGTACAAAGTCTTAAAAAAAGTGTGTCAAATTCTGTTTTTTCATTAAAAGTGTAGGTCAATTTTATTTTTTTTATAAATAATTATAAATTAAAAATAAAATATGAAACCCCGTGAAAAGGAAAATAACTATAAAAAATAATGTTTGGGCAAAAAAGTGGCATTGTTGTTGATGCATGGTGGGTTTGTTATACATGGACCGAGGATGAATCAGTATCACGTTGGAGATTTGAATGTTAGAATTTGTATTAGAATTTGGTGATTAATCGTTACACTAATTTAGTTAAATTTTTTTTGAAGAAAAATAATGGGTGAGATCAAGAATCTCATGATTCTATTCTATTAGTGAAGAGTATCAAAAAAATAAAAAACAGCTTTAAAATTCACCCACTCTCTCCAACTCCTCTACCGTTCAAAACAACGTCATTTTATACGTAAAATGATATCATTTTGAGAAAGACTAAATCTATTGTACATCGGAGGGGCTACAATGCTTCATTAATCTTATGTTTTAGTTTTTTAATAATGCATTTATGGTGAATCCATGCCTCTAAGATATGGTGCTTGAGTGGGGGAGTCAAACTGATGCATGAGAGGTTGGATTGTGATTTGATGGATTGTAGGTTGCAAGTACATGGAATCAGAATAGTAAGTACAGTAATTGTATTAGCAGGGCGGCAGCAGTAGTTGTAGTACCTACTACTATCGATATTGGAGGGTTCAGTGAGACAGACAGTAGCAGCAGTCGGGGCTGGCACGCACAACAGCTTTGTCTCTTCCTCCCCATGTAACGTCCCTTTTGAACCCAGTTTACCCCACCTCTATTTATTAGGCATTTTCTAATGGTGGAATTCATCCATGTAACAAATTATCATTCTAAGTTAGATAAAAACTCAATAGTACTGATTGAATCGATATGAAAAATTGCTATCGATCGATTTTAATAATTTTATGATCAATTTCAAAGAAGTTGAATCTCAATACTGAGTTTAACTTCTATCTGTCATTTTTTTTCATAAACTATTTATTTCTAATAATAAATATACTTTGAACCTTTAATTTAACTTATTTATTTTTTTTGATTATTTTTTTTCGGTTATTTACCCCGCTGTACGTTCACAACACTTAGGAACGATCTCAATTTTTTACGATCAATTTCAAATTGATTAACGCAAAAGTTTGATTTATTTGTAACTTGTATTTTTTAATACCACCAATATGGACATTAGCAACTTTATAAGGAGAATTATAAAATAACTTTTTGGTTTTATACCCAAAAATACCTTTCAACAGTAGGAATTAATTGTATATATAAAATTACTTATAATCGTTGATCACAAAAATAATAAAAAAAACATGAAACACTAAAACAAAAGGTTTAATATGTATAAAGTTTTCAACAGGGAAAAAAAAAAAAGAAGAAGAAGAGCAAACATGATTTAAAATCTTATTCTATTTTGGTACAATTCAATTTTACGGGACTTACTAAAATTTTATCAAATAATTTGGACAATATTAACGTTACAGATCATTAAAAGATTAGTAAGTGAGACTCGTTAATTCTCACAAACTATATATGATTATAACTAGGAGTGTCAATTTTATCTATTAATACGAATTTGGTACGGACCTGACCTAATAAAAAATTAAAAAATCACATGATTAGTTGACACGAGTAATAAATGAATCAAATTAAAGTTCGATACGAATAATACGATTCGTGGGTAATGTAAATAGAAAATAAATATTTAATAAGTATTGTAGATAAAAAATAAAAATCTTATAATTTTTAAAATAGTATTATATAAATTATTGTGAAATTAAATAATTTTTTATTAATACAACTATTGACATGAATTTAACACGTATTAAAAATGATTTAATTATTGTATTTTTTGTTTTGATAAATATGGATTATTGAATTTTATTTATGTCTGGTAGTAGTATTTGACGTAACGTAGTCCTTGACTGTGGACCAATGATTCAGAGAAGCAGAAGAAAGTACAAAAATTAAGAGCTTAGCTTACAGTACAACTGCATGAGAAGATACCCTTCGCATCGCACCACCACCACTTTTAAGTGGAATTAATTTAACGGTCTTGAATGGTAATCCAAACTTTTCTCCATCACAGGCCGACATGTACGGTCACAAAGGGCTGTTGTTCCCAAAACTTGAGCTTTGAATTAACTGCTGGGCATGTGGGGGAATTCAGATACCCTTGTGCTTGTTTTTTACCCTTTGGCTTTGGACAGCCTTTCTTTACCCCCATAGTTCATACACTTCACACAAGCTATATAGCCTTGAGCTCTACTAAACCAAATGATTTTTTTTTTGTTAAAGGCTTCAAGAGTGAGGAAAACTTTGATGCCACCGCTGACCGACTTTTGCTATAAATACTATTAAGCAAAAATTGTTTTTCATAGTTCATAGTAGAAGTTAGAACCACCAGTGGGTGGAGGGTCGGGGTGGGGAGATGGGGGTTGGGGAGAGAGGGGTAGGGTGTGGAAATCCTACCATGAAAAAACATGATTTTAATTTGTATTTTTATGATTTTGGCTTCATGGATATATATGATAACTCCCATGTTCAATCAGGGTAAGACTACATTGTCGAAAAATTATTTTTTGGTAACTTCTCAAGAATTTTTATAAAACAAAATTAATATTGCAAGTCAATCTTAGGTTGTGCTTGTAACGTTTTAGAATTGATTTTGATTTTTTGTTGTTGTTGTTATAATTTCATTAAATTTTAACTTAACCAAAATAAATTATAGTTAGTTTTTGTTTAATTAGTTGTAACCTTGGGCATGGTACCTCCTTCAGTCACAAGGTGTTTGGGTATAGGACAAAGTGACTAACATTAATGGTGTTATGCTATTTACTTTTATCTGAAAAAGTTGTTTTCATTAATCCAAATACAAAAAGAGATTGTATTGACTTTGGGTATTTTATGGAAGCAATATGTTGATAAACCTATCCCTAAGATGATAAAAACTAATAAACCCAAAATACCTCAAAGCATCTTGTTTTATGCTCATTTTGGCATACAAATAAAGGTAGCTTCAACCTTCCCAACCACTTTTCTGGTATCAAACACTCTCAGTGATGGAGATGTGTTTTTGGGTATTCAGCGAGAGCCATACCTCTACAAACTGAACTAAAATAATAATAATAATAAAATAGCATATGAAAAATGAGATGATTTTTTGTCTCATCATAAAGTTGTATGTAACTTGCACATTATCACTCTTTGTTTGACATATGTGATTGATTGACCTCTACTACTTTATTATACTAATGTTCTGCACCTTTTTATTTTTTTTGACTTGAGTACTTAAGAAAAAACGGTATCCTATCTCTAATTTTTATTACTTTAATAGCTATTTTAAAAATTTTTGTAGGTGCTTTATGGCTGTTGTGGATATTTTTACCACATTTTTAGTAATTAATTTTATTACTTTCTTCGGTATAAAAAAATCATCACTTTTGTGAGTGATTTAGTACATTTGTAAGTGTTTTTATCACATTTGTGGATGTTTTTATCACTTTTGTGATAGTTTTTTAATTATTTTTTTTGGGTGCCACAACAATCATAAAAATATCAAAAAATATGACAAAACACTCACAAATATGATAAATAGAAATAGAGTATCTAATTTTTTTTGGGTACCATAATCAACTCCTTTTTTTTTTTGGTTAAGTTCTGTGACTTTTTTGACATGATTTATAAATATGATATGAACTTAAAAATAACACGATTAATTAATATAAATATTAAATGAGTGAGGTAGTATTACATATGAGTCACTCTATTTTTGCCAAGCTAAACCCATTTAATTTGTCTTGTCAAAAAATTTATATAATGTTTTTTTTTAATTTTTTTATCTGGTATTATGCACAATTTTATAAAATTTAAATAGTTCATGATTTAATTTAGTCAAAATCTGGATCAAGTTTGTTTTTAATTTGTCATGGACTATAAAGAAAATTCTAAATTTTTGTTTCATTGGGTGACTTAAGAACGGCGCGAATATAACACAATTTTAACGTAACACAACTGTGATATATCGTAGGGTTCAAGTATGATACTGAAAATTAATTTTTCGGGCGTTATATCTCCACGTTGCATCCAATTTGATGGATATAAATCATTTAAACCAAAATCAACCGTTGTGGTTTGTGTACGAATTTCACTAGGATACCAAATTGATAACGTAACATCATCCTAAATCGTATCTTAAATTAAAGGACAGCGGTCGATTAAACCTCAATGTGGCTACCTCAATCCCTCATGAGCACCTAACAAGGACTATATGAAGTTTTGTTGGTAGGAGTATATCTGTCTCCTTATGACGCTTATCTGGCTCTATCTATTATGATGCATCACAAGAGCAAAATAAAGCTTTAGTTGGAACTCCCACTACTACCGCTCAACAACGCCAATTCAGAACAAACAGAAACTCAAATGAAAATTTTAAAGTGTAAATATTCTAATCCTGACTTAGATGATTACTTTTAACTGGACACACCTAATTAACCATTGAAGAAAAAAAAACTGAACCGCAAATGAAGCGACTATATATAATGTGCTGGAGGATAAACGTGTGGCGCCGTAAACATTCAGCAAACTGCTTGGTCCAGAGTTCACACCTATATGTGGAGTTTTGTGTGTGTGTGTGTGAGAGAGAGAGAGAGTTGGGAGGGGGGGGGGGGGGGGTAGAGTTGAGCTCGTGAATAGGGTGGCCGGATTCCCGTGAGAAGAAACCAAAAAACCGAACACATGCACGCAGACACACTAATGTCTCTCTGCCTGCCACTTCTCAAACGTTACATCTCACGGGCCAAGCCCTTCTCTTCCTGACCCTCCTATTATTTGTTTTCTAATTTTTTTACTCTCTTATGTCCTACGTGTTAAGAGATGGGACTTGCAGGTTTTTTGAATTTTTGAGTACAATATAATTTTACTAGTTATTTTTCGTACTTGAAAACAATGAATAATAAAAAAATGATAAATAATAAACATATTTGTATTCACATTCAAAATCAAATTACAAAATAGATGAGAGAGAAATAAATATAAACACCGATTACAATGTTAGCGAATGGTGGGAGACGGTGATGATTGTGGTGAGTGATGATGATCGGTTGTGATGGTGGCGGTCATGTGTGGCAATAATAATGGTAGTGGTGGTGGGGCGATGAGGGTGGTGGAGGTAGGGGGTAATGGTGCGATAATGACTATAGTGGCAAGATAACGACAACGATAGGGGTGGTGATAGTGGGGATGAGGGGTGGGGATAATGGTGGGTAACGACAGTGGTGGTGGCAACGACGATGGTGGTGGTGGTAGGCAGGGGTGGCCCAAGGTCAAGCGGGTCCCTAAGCAAAATTTTTATATGAGGCCCAATTAATATTTTGTCTATTACTATATTTAACTTTTAATTATTATAATTTTTTTACGTTTTAAAAATTATTTTTTATTTTTTAAAAAATTTAAAATATTGATCAAGTTTTTATACTCAAGTTTTGACAATAATTTTTTTAATAGATAATATTATTAATTCATTTACTCTTAGTTGATTGTAAATAAAATTTCATCAATTTAAGTTTTCAATAAATAATTTAATAATAGAATATGTGAGCAAAGAATAATTTTATGATAATAAATAATCATTCTTTACCCATGAGTAATATGCATGCATGAAGTACACAACTTTAATAACATTGACAATTTAAGTAAAAATTATTTGAATTGAAAATTTATATTAAGATAAAAAAAGAATCAATTTTATAGATTTTCACTACAAGAAATAATGAATATAAATTTTCTATGTGAGTGAGTGAAATACAACTATGAACACACCCAAAATATTTAAAAAAATTTAAATCAAAGCTCACATGAAGGAGTAATTTTGGACAAAAAAAAAATTAGATATTGATTTGAATAGTAAAATTTGAGTCCTAAAAATTTGAATAATATCTAAAATTTAAAAATTAAAAGGACTATTATACTAAATTGGTAAATTTTATGAAGACCTCTAAAATTTGAGTTTAACTAAGTAGAGAGTAATTTTGACCTAATAAAATTAGATACTGATTTGAATTGATAAAATTTGGGCCTTAAAAATTTTAACCATATCTAAAATATAAAATAAAAAAAAAAAATTAAGCCTATTATATTAAAGGGATAAATATTGTGGGGGCCCTCTAAAATTTGAGGCCCTAGACAAGCAACTTAGTTGCCTAGGGGCTAGGGGCTAGGCCAGCCCTGGTGGTCGGGTTATGATAGTGGTGGCGCTGGGGTGAAAGGGTGGTGGTGGGGCGATGAGTGTGGTAGTGGCGGTGGGATAGCAATAGTGGTGATGGTGTGATGACGACAACAGTAATGGTGATAGTAGTAGTGATAATGATGGTGGTAGGGCGGTGGGGTGGGGGGTGGTAGTGGTGGTGATAGGGTAGTTCCAAACACTAATTTTTTTTTAAAATTTTAAAGTATTTATAAGAAGTTATAAGTTTTAAAAAACTTTTAAAAGATTACCAAACACATCCTTAGGGGCCCATTTTTTCTATTAAATTTGGGGTGTTAATATTAGCCGTTGAATTAATTTTAAAGTAAAATTTAAAGAGATTTCAACTATAAAAAGCAAAAGTCATTTTGTTTATTTTTTTAGATTTGAATTGTATTATATTTTATTATATAGATTATCTCATGCAACATTAAAATAAAATAAGATTTTCTAGAGTAAAATTTGTGACCTAGATATAAATACCTCTTAACTTTTTTCCTTCAGAATGACTCTTATACTCCATTTCATATTATGAAAAATGGAAGGGTAAAAAGTTGAAAGAATAGAAAGTTTGACAGATAAATAAAACATCATGTTTAATAAGGAAGACAGATAAGAAGTATGAAAAAGTAGATAAATGAGTTTTTTTTTCAATTCACCAAAATCAATCCTTCTAAAATTAGACAAAAGTGGATGAAAAGTTAATTATTTGTATTGAAATGTATTTTATTTTTCTATATATTAATTGATATATACCTATATTATCTATATATTAATTTCATATATAAATACAATAACAAAATATGTATTTATCCCTTTTAAAAAATATATATTTTTTCCATCTTACCAAGCACCAAAAAAAGATTAATCATTTTTATATTCCATCCATCCAACCAAACACAAAGAAAAAAAAATATATCATTCATTTCTTGGAGGATATAAAATGTATTCCTTCTATTTTCTATTCTACATACTTTCCATCATTCCTATCAAACGGAACATTAGTAATTGACAAGTTTTTATCATCCTTATGAAAAAGCCTAATGGTGTGTTTGGTAGGGCCGATAAAAAAATAAAATGATAGAAAGAGGTATATTTTTATCCTTTAAGAGAAGAATCATTTTTTAACCTCATTTGTGTTTGGTAGGAGTGATAAAAAGTAAGAAGATTAATTCATCCAATTTTCTATTTTTTTTTCATTTTTTACCAATATATGATGTTTTATTTATCCTTCTATTTTTTCATTATATCAAACAAAGCAAAACCAAAAATTTTGAACATGGACAACTCTTTCTAAATCACACACATCGATACATTAATTATGTATTATTATTTTTTTGGAGAGGGAAAGAGAACTTAAACTCTTGACTCAAGAAGACAAAGTATTTCATAAGATAATGAGTACTATTAAATCAATGACCTATTGATGATCAATGCTATTGAAACCTAATTTATTGACTTAATTTACTGACCTAATTCATTATGACTTTTAGATTGACTGTAGGCTCCATCAAACATTGAAATTTGGAGTTGTTCTAATGGTTCCACTAAAACCACAACATTTTATGTCTATAAATTAGATCAAATTTTTAAATTCAAATAAAATTACTCCATAAGTAATCATTCTAACAAAAATATGTTGCTATATCTCAATTGACGATCGACTTATATTGACTTTTACTCGACTCAAAGTTTGGGGAAAGCAATTGGGTTGTGTTGTGTTGAATTTGTTTCATGTTCAAAATTCGATAATTTAACTTTTTTTATAATTAATTCTTCAACTTTGTTAGTAATTCAGCTGTCCAGTAAATCGCAGTAGAATGTTATTATGCTTATTCATCAAACTAGTATTGAATCTTGTACAAAGTCGTCTCTCTACACAAGAGATAAATTTATGGGTGATGACCTCAAAAAAATAAACATTTTGTGAAATATTTGAACTCTTAACTTATACTAATGAAAGCGTTTATCAGATAGTCGAGCTACAACTAGTTCTCAAATTTTTTGGTTTGCGCATGACCATGCATTATACCTTTCAAGACTGGCTGGGCATAAATTTAGGAAGCAAGTTGGTCACTTGGGCCGGTCTATTTTGTGTCAGAGTTCAAGTTTGCCAAAATGTTGGGTCACATTAATCACGGCCGGTCTGAATCATCAGATGGACTAATAACGGCTTCACCACTTCCGGCCCATCCGGCCTGCTGTCAGTCTCTCTCAATCAGACGGCCCTACCCAGAGAATGAGGAAATATTCGCTGCAACGGTTACACTAAAGTCATAATTGTCATGTACTATTATTATTTAATAAAAATAATTAAATTAAAAAAATAAATTTCATTCTTCACATGTAATAAGTATTGTATTACATATATAGGTAGTTATTAAATTGTGTGGAATTCACTTATCCATTTATTATATTTTTATAAAATTGTGATTTCATGTGAAAGTAATAATGTAGTGTCAACGTTATATTGAATATTTTCTCCTAGAGTACAAGTAAATATTCAGTATAAAATGTGGTATTATTGTCACATAATAAACTTATAAATGAATAAAAAAACTAAACTTTTTTACTTAAAAGTATTTATTATAATACTAGGATGGGTAGTCACTCAATCAGGCCAAACATTTAAGAGATTGTTCAACACCTCTGGTGTGACAGTAAACAGCAAAAACATAGTTCAACAAAGAAAATAATGCTATACTACCCAATTCCATCCCAACCAACACCAGGGCCACATCCTCAATTAAGCCTCTAATCCTCTTAGCTAACAAGATATCCTTTGTCACCCGCTTGGCATGAATTACGCCAAGTTAGTGTCCTCAAAGAGTCCCACAAAGGTAAGCTGATTAACCATTAAATATGGCAATTGAAACATCCATTGAATTGGTTAATTACATCTGTTTTGCATTTAAGGAGATAAAATTAAGGCCATTTAATGTGTGATGCTTGTATAGGGATGACGTCATGATTTGCAGGATAGGGTATACTACGCTACTTTGACATGTGGGAGACAAAGAAAAGCGAGGGATCCGACTATGAAGACTTAGGAGGCTAAAATGAAGACTTTTTGCAATGCGTTCGAACGGGGTCTATGACATTCGAACGGACTAGCTGCAAGAATTAGACATGATGCAGCATTCAATAGCCAAAGCTGTTTAGGTGGTTGATCAACATAAGTGGCATTCGAACGGGATACATGGCGTTCGAACGGTATCTAGCCTCAGTATCTCAGCAAACAGAATCCCCAAAAAAATCAGCCAACGGGCTAGTTGGCATTCGAATGCCAAGTTCAGACTCCAAAACCTCACCTGTTTGGTTTCAGCTCCAATTTGAATTCATTTTCTCGTATAAATGTTGCCTTGTATTTAGTCCAACAAACAACTTTGGAAGAGGAAAGAACCCTCCAAATTAACTAGCTTTCTTCTACTTCTAGTATTACTTTCATTAGCTTTCATTGGGTAGCTTTCTCCTTCACCTAGAGTGGTGAACCTCTCTCACTTTTCTAGCTCCCTTGTAGCTTTGAAGGGTGGGTATTGTTTCACTTGTTTTTTGTTGGAGATAAACATTGTATTATCTTTGTAACCCTAAGCTCCTCTATTTAGAGGGCTGAGATTCACTCACTTTTTTAGCTTCTTTATAGCAATTAAGAGTGAGTAGTTTTTCATTCATTCTTTAGTGAGAGGTGATGAACATGTAATGTATTGTTCGGAGGTCATATTGGTGCAACTTCATCTATGTTTATTGTATTATCTTTTCCTTTTACCTATAGACAAGTTAAGACTTGACATAGGTTATTCTTACAATTCCTTGCAAGTACCAAAGCTAGATCTTTATGACAATCTTTCAATCTTCATTTACACTATGTTTAACTTATGGTTGAATAAGTTTAACTAATGTTGGATGCTTTGTAAATTTATTTGATTATTTATAGACGGGTTAAATATCGGCATAAGCAAATCTTATGATCATCTACATAAACATTGGAGCTATGCTTTTAATTCACACATTCAATCTATATCCTCCGATTAACTTGCCATTGACGTAGGGGTTAATTGAAGTAATTACTATTGCACAAATATAGCACCCGAACACATATGCACATGTACGGATCCTCGAACCAAAGAGTGGCTTTTATTTTCATTTAAAAAATCTTATATTTTGTTTAGAAAAGTTCATCACTATCACAACTCCTAAATTCATGATTTTCATTCAACTTCATCTCTATTGATCTTAACTAACACCAACATTAGTTTCCTATGGATTCGACTCTAAACTTAACCGGATTATAACTATAACTTGACCGCCTACACTTGAGTGTACACATTTTGGTCCAATTCATAAGCCTCTGCCAACACTGCATGGTTTTGGAAGGTCAATCTACAACAAAGAACCCAAAACAATCTACACAAACAAATGTTGTGCCTCCATAACTCATAAACCAACCATATTCAAAGCAAATAACTAATCAAAACAGAGCAAAAAAAAAAAAAGCTAATCACAGACATATGTGATAGCAAGATACTTTGCAATACACACACACACACACAGAGGATAATTGGGTATGAAGATATTTGGCAATGGTTAAGCAATGGCAAAGTAGACTAGATTCCATATGTTTTCTTTACGAGTAGCTAGATTCATCAATTTAAAGGGTAAGTAGTCTATATAGTATTAAATTCTTATGATGCAGTAGAATAGAATAGGGGTGTGATCAAGTCCCATTTACAAAATGAAAGAGAACTAAGAGGAAATTATACCACAAAAAAGAGAGAATCAATGTTTGGATATTTTACAGCTATGCAGTACCAAAACAACCATGATTCAAGTGAAGAAAGAAATGGGTCTGTAAAAAAAAGGAAAAAGGCAAGAAAAGCAGGTGTTGTAGACCATAGCTTCATTTATTCCTCAATTTCCCACCCCCCCTCCCCCTAAAAAGTTACACACGGGAACCCACAGTTTAATATTATGTAGTTTTCCATCCTATATTTATTCTCTTATGTTGTTTTTCCCCCCTATATTTATTCTCTTATGTTGTTTTCCCCCCCTATATTTATTCTCTTATGTAGTTTTTCTTGTAATGTGTAGTGTCATCGTTACATTGAATATTTTTCCTAAAGTTCAAGGTCACGCGTGCACTCTATCCATGCGGGCCAACAAAGAACACTGAGGGAGGATTCTTTGGTCATATCATTTGTGAATGCGAAATCATGAATTAATTACCTAATTACCATTGTTTTGAAATTTATTTATTTAGATATTAAGGTTTTAACTTTATTTATTAAATTATCATTTTAAAAAAAGGTGTGTAACCCGTGAAATTGCTCTCCCTAAGAATTTAGATCCACTCTAATGGTCTATTTGATAAGATGAATAGAAAATTAAAAATAAGAATGATCCACTTTTAAAGTTTGCAAGAGAGAAATCTTTCTTCCACCCTTTGCATTGGGTAGTAGAGATGAAAAGGAGGAGGCTTGAATTTTTTCATGTTAGTCTAGATGGAAAAGTAAAATGAAAAGAAAAAGTGTATATATATATTTTACCATTATATCCTCATAAGGAATTAATTTATCCATGATATTCAATAAAATTTACATGTTAAAGAGTATAAAAGTTAATAACTTACATTTCAACATACACGCTTAACTTTTTTTGTATTTCCCTCTCCATTTTGAGGGAATAAATTTTATAAGATAAAAACCTAATGTGCTATCAATTTCTCCGTTTTTCTATACTTTCACCTTTTTTTTATCATATCACATAATCATCATTAAGAAGAGGCTTCACTTTTTTTTTAATCTTACCAAATAATCATTATATTAAAAAGAGGGCAATCTAGGGGATGATTCGTCACTTCAAGGTTTGAGGAATGTCAAATGTACATAGTTTAATATTGCATGTAGAGAGACTATTTGTACGACTCGAACCCTTAATGCCTTGATCGTTTAATAAATTCCACTTCAACTTATCATTGTTAAATCACCAACCATTTATTAATCGTGGACTTATTTGAATGTAATGAATCCCACTTTGATTTGTTTTTCATATGATAGATATCGCATATTAAAAGAAACAGATACAACAAATACAGAGAGAATCTAAATCCTTTCTTATGAGTGAAATATTGACATGAAGTTCAAATATGTTGTTTTATGTTTTAGAACAAAATTCAGATATGTTGTTCGATGTTTATGTGACTCAAACAGTGTTAAGTAACCGACAGTCAGCGTAAAACTTTGTTAGATCCATTATGATGAGTTCATACAGTGATATATGTGCTAAAACCAGTAAGTGACGCATTGCGCCTACCTCGGGGCGTTTTGACATAAAAGTTGGGGGCGCTGCATCGGTGACCGGGTGTGGTAATAAATAGGCAAGGGTCTTCGTGCCATGGATGGACATGGCGGGTAAGGAAGCTAGTCCACGATGATAGATTTAAATTAGCAACATGAAACATATGTACATTTACTGACAAAACATTGGAATTAGTAGATACTATGAGTAGGAAAAAAATTAGTATAATATGCTTATAAGAAACTAAGTGGGTAGGTGAGAAGGCAAAGGATGTGACATCCCTAAAAACGGGGGGGGGGGGGGGGGTTTGTCAACTCGTTGATCACTCATTAACCTGCGAAATACTCGTGGATACCGTGTAACTCGATACCACGCTATTATAACCCATTTATCGGAATCTATAACTTAACAAAATTCGGGCAGAGTCTCATTTGTACGAGGAGTTTTACTTAAAACGCAACTTATGCAACATTGACTACACCGGATCCATTTATCTATACTCATATAACAACATGCAATTTTACATTAAACATAGTTCATGTGAGTTCGATTACAATCCTTGACATACATTACATGTCCAAAAACTAATTTACATCTTAATTTTACAAAAGTATAGTTTAAAAGCCACATTTCGGCTTTTCTTGATCAATGAGGGGCCGAATGAGAGTCGTCCACCAGCGCATGTCCCGCCCCTGAAATATTATCCCCATAAAAGGTGAATCACGCTCAATAGGGTACCTCCTAAAGAGGCTACTCCCCAACCTAGATGCATATGAAATGTTCTCATGCAATTCACAAGTAACAATCACTCCATTCAAAAATATGCAATTCAACAATGGAATCCTCAATGTCATGCCATGATATGAGACTCACACATGCAACTCAACTCGAGCCTTTACCGGCTCCCTCAACATATGAATGTCATGTGCATGAATCTGGGCATTCTAAGCCCCCGCCATTGATGTTACACATTTGATGACCTTTTT